AGAATTGTTACTTGTTATATAATGCGAAAGTGAATTGTGAGTCATGAGTGCTGATGTAAAGACAGCTGAAGAATTTCTGGAAGCTCTAAATAAGCTGATGGTGGAGGAAAATTACTTGCCAGAGCAAATATTCAATACAGATGAAACTTCCCACTTCTGGAAACAGATGCCTGAATGGTCTTTCTTCCATAAGGAGGCCAAGTCAACGTGAAGTTTCAAGTTTTGAAGAGGAGGACAACAGTCTTTCTTGGGGACACTATTACAAGCTACAAACTGAAATCCTTTGTTACCTGGCACAGTGATCACCCAAGGGCCTTCCAGCATATCAGTAAGCACACGCTGCCAGTGTATCAGAGGAGCAATGAGAAGTCATGGATGATCCAGCTCCTCTTCCAAAACGCCCTCCTCAATTGCTACACCACTGAAATGAAGAAGTACTTTTGAAGAATAATATACCTTTCAAGATTTTGCTTATTGTTGATAATGCTCCTGGCCATCCTCCTTTTATTGGTAATCTTCATTCCAATATCAAAGCAGTGTTTCTTCCTCCAAACACCACCAACCAATGGATCAAGGAGTTATAGCAGCTTTTAAGGCCTGCTACCTGAGGAGGACCCTTGCCCAGGCTATTGCTGAATCTGAGAAAGATGCAATTCTGAAAGGATTGTAGCATCTATGACCGCATCAAGAGCCTTACCTGGGCTTTGGGTGGTGTCTCGAAGGAGTATATGTATGGCATCCGGAAGAAGACACTCAAGAGGTTAACCCATGACTTCAAAGGATTTGCGAAGGAAGAAGAGGTTGCAAAAATCAACAAGACTGTGGTTGAGATGGCAAAAAAACTTTAAGCTGGGTGTCGATGATGATGATATTCAGGAGCTCCTAGAGGTTGTTGCTGAGGTGTTGATTAATGAGAAGTTGTTGAAACTAGAACAGGAATGCATAACTGAAGAAGAGGCAAGAGAAAAGGAAACTGCAGGAGAAAAAGAAGAAAAACCCCCAAGAAGATTTACAGTATAAGTTTTGGCAGAAGCTTTTGCAGACTTCAACAAGCTCCTTAAAAAGTTTGGGTAGCTGGCCCTGTGGCCTAGTGGTTATGTTCAGCGCACTCTGCTTTCATGTCCCAGGTTCGATTCCTAGGTGTGGACTACACTGCTCATCAGTAGCCATGCTGTGGTGGCAACCCACATATAAAATAGAGGAAATTGGCACAAATGTCACTGCAGGGCAAATCTTCCTCTGCAAAAAAAAAAAAAAAAAAGTTTGAAAACATGAACCTCACACTAAAAGTTTTTCATTACTAGAGAGTAATGTTCATGGTATGTTATCTGCTTAAAAGCAAATCTATGATGAGAAAATAAATAAGCCAAGCAAACCTCCATAGACATATTTCTGAAAAGAGTGACACTTCCTCAAGACACCCTCACGCAGGTCCTTCAGGGAGTATTCCAGACGAAGGCATTGTTACTGTAGGAGATGACATGCATGTTTTTCCCCTGAAGACCTTCCAGTGGGACAAGATGTGGAGGAGGAAGACAGTCCTATTGATGATCCTGACTTGTGTAGGCCTAGGCTAATTGTGTGTTTGTGTCCTAGTCTTTAACCAAAAAGTTACAAAATAAAAAAAAAAATTAAATAAATTTAAAATAGCAAAAAAGCCTATAGACTAAGGATATAAAGAAAGAAAATATTTTTGCGTAGTTGTACAATGTATTTGTGTTTTAAGCTAATTGTTATTACAATGGAGTCAAAAAGTTAAAAAAAATTAGGAAATTTTTAAGTAAAAAATTACAGTAAGTTAAAGTTAATTTACTTTGGAAGAAAGAAAAGGATTTTTAAAAATAAATTTAGTGTAGCCTAAGCATACATTGTTTATAAAGTCTAGAGTGTACAGTGATGTCCTAGGTCTTCACATTCACTCATCACTCAACTCATTGACTCACCCAGAGCAACTTCCAGTTCTGCAAGCTCCATCCATGGTAAGTGCCCTATACAGGTGTATCATTCTTTCTTTTATATCGTATTTTTACTGTACCTTTTGTATGTTTAGATATGTTTAGATATGTGAATACTTATCATTGTGTTACCATTGCCTACAATATTCAGTACAGTGACACGCTGTAGCTAGGTCTGTAGCCTAGGAACAATAGGCTCTACCACACAGCCTAGGTGTGTAGTAGGCTATACCATCTAGGTTTGTGCAAGTACACTCTATGATGTTCGCATAATGACAAAATCATCTTATGATACATTTTTCAGAATGTATTCCTGTCATTATGTGACACCTGACTGTACAGATAGAAAGAAAGGCATAGGAATTGAGAGTGTATGCCAAGGGCTCTTCAATCATACAGCACTTGTCTTTTTGTGACTGGCTTATTTCACTTAGCATAATGTCCATGGCGTTCCATGTTGTAGCAGGACGTAATAGGATTTCCCTCCCTTTTAAGGCTGAATGATAATCCATTGTATCATGTACCATATATTTTTTTAATCCATCCATCCATCAATAGGGATACTTCCAACTCTTGGCTATTGTGAATACTGCTGCTATGAACATGAGTGTGCAAATCTCTCTATGAGACTCTGCTTGCAATTCTTTTGAGCATATATACCCAAAAGTGGGATTGCTGGATCATATGGTATTCTATTTTCAATTTAGTAAGGAACCTCTACAGTGTTTTCCACAGCAGTTGTACCATTTTACAATCTCACCAAATGTACACAAGATTGTTAATGTGTTATGTGTGCATTCAGGTGCGGTGAAGGAAGGGCTGAAAAATGTGACTCAGCTCATGTGATTCAAATTTCTTCAATGAATCATTTCTGTCCTCAGATATCACAAATCCTGGTATTATATATTTAGCTCTATTTTTATTTGCTTAATTTTAACCTGTGTTTTCATTTGGTCTTTGAATTAATCAAATCATTTTTTTCTTAGACTCTAGAGGAAAATGTGGGCGCCCTCCACCCATTGACAATGGAGACCTTACCTCATTCCCGTTACCAACATATGCTACAGGATCCTCAGTTGAGTACCAATGCCAGTCCTTGCATGTGCTTCAGGGAAACAGGAATATAATATGTAGGAATGGACAGTGGTCAGAACCACCACGATGCTTAGGTAAGTATATTAATATTCTCACGGATCCTGGGAAAATCAGTGTAATGAGTATGATGTTTGCTGTTTATAATGGAGTTTTCATGGATTAACAACCAACCATTCTGTTGAATGCTTGCTATGAAACATTAGTATGTGATGAAGTCAAGTTTGAAAAATTCTTGTTGAAGCACAAACAGCAACAAAAGATTCTTTAATGAAAGCTCTTCAGGGGATAATTGACATTATGGATCTTTGATTATAACATTTAATTATCATAGATTAAACATAGCACCTCATTTTCACATCATTAGTTATTTAAAATGGTTTAAATTTACATGCTGGATTTTCAGTGAGTTCCTTTAGCAAAGGGTTTAAGAATGAAGTTCTGGACCAGTGTAGAAGATTCTACTCGAGTCTGATATTTTGTGGAAAATATTTGTGTACTCCTTAATGTTTTATTTTCATTTTTTTGCCTTCAGATGCATGTGTTATATCAGAAGAAATGATGGAAAAACATAAGATAGAACTGCGATGGTCGTATGACAAAAAATTGTATTCTGAAACAGGGGACACTGTTGAATTTACATGTAAACATGGATATCGTAAAAAGACACCGCCTGAAACATTTCGAACAACCTGTCGGGAAGGGAAAATGGCGTATCCCACCTGTGGATAGAACAATAGTTAAAATCGATTCGTAAAATTCACATAGGTAAATTCACTCTGAATTTTTCATTATTAATCCAATTCCTCTCAGTTTATTTCTTCAAGTATTGTTTAACTCATTTTTACTCGTAAATCAGAATTTGTATAAATTATTACATGGACGATGTGATTACAATCTGAGAGACCAATGAATGACTTCTAAAATGACCTTATTAAAACTTGGCAAACCAAAGTGCTGTGCGTCCTGTCCATCAAATATCTGTGGCTAGAAACTAGATGCAATCACTTCGGTGTCTGCTTCCAACCATCCATCTTCCAACTTTCTCAAAGCTTTCTTCATAGCTTCTGAGGCTTCCTGAGACTCTCTATTTCAGAGGAAATGGGAAAAAAAAAGGCTTGTCTCCATCTTCAAAATAACATCACTTCGCAAACACATAAAAAGCAAACTATGTCATATCAAAGTTAGTAATAAGATGTCAGTAGTATTTACTTACTTTTGCTTACTTCACAATAGATAAAGAAACCAAAAAGTGATGAAATGCATGATTTTCTACAAGACGTCTATCTAGCACACATCACAATTCAAACTGATCATAAAGAGGAATTAGAATCTAAATGGGTGCATTGCTAGCATAACCTTGACATGAAACGTGATAAGCTCTCCAATATCAGGTATAAACATGCGCACACACTGGCTTTGAGCACTGAGAAATGTTTATAGAACAAAGATTGGCAGGAAGTACAATAAAATATTTACCATAACTAGACTTAAATTCAGAGATAATTGGAGTAAGATTTGGTGTTTAACTCTTCATACTTAGCTGTATTTTCCAATAATTCTTTGCAATTTTTCTATCTCTAATATATATCATTGTTGAACCATAAGAATATGTGGTTTTAAAATAAAGGTGTATGAAAAGTAAGACAATACATGTGGGGAACTATAAAGACCTCTTTGGTAATGATCTTCAGATCTAATAGCTTTTTTATGATTTTGCTGGTATAGAAGGTTTTGGAGACATTCAACCACAAGCGTCTGAAATATGATTTTTATGTTCCCATATTTCAAAACAGCATAATTAGTTAAAATCTGTTGAATATAAACATTTTTAATTTCTACAAAATATGAAAATTTTAAGATGAAAGTAAAGATATATATAATTAAGGTAAAAATATTTTAATGTGATACCTTGTTACTTTGTAATGCATCAAATCAAGTGGCAATATTAGAATGAAAGACCTGACTGTCACCAATGGAGCCGACTTATATAAATCTGAATTACTGGTGACAGCCATTTTTATCATATATATATGAATATAATGATGTACAACTGAAATTTATATAATATCATGAACCACTGTGAACTCAAAAAACAATACAAAACAGAAGTTCTGTTCCTGGTGGAACACTATTACCTTTGAAAACTTGGTTTTAAGTGTTTTTAAGGCGGGTCTATTTCAGTGTTGCCTTAATACAAGTATACAGCCCTCAGTCAGCTCTTGGGACATAGTGTTTACTCCAAAGACACATCCACCTGTGTTCAAGGAAAATGTGAGGAATTTCATAAGCTCTGCTGGCCTTGAACTTCACCTCCTTCTGCTCCACACGGGGTATTATCTGAATTTTTCAGTTTCCAGCCTTACAGCAATTTCTTCCACTGGACTGCTTGGAGTTTCACCCCATGCATGCTCATGTAGAGTTAGCCAATAATTTAGGGGAAATATGAAGACTATTAGGGATTTCCCTGGTGGGCTCCCTGGATTTCTCTTCTCACGTGGCAGATGTTTTGCCAGCCCCATACTCGGATCTCTCAATTGTCACACAAGTAAGACGCCCTCTTTCTGCTTGATCTCTACCATCCATGCACCATGTGGGTGTGGGTGGGTTCTAAGTTCAGAAAACGGATAGATATGGATCTTCTAGTTTGATTCCATTCTTTAAAAGGTGGGATGCTTTTCATTTTCTGATTGCTTTTACTCGCTCACTCAGCAGTTCATTTTTATAATGTGTGTTGATTTTATTTGTTATATCTAGAAGCTCTGATATAAGCTCTTTTGCTTTCTGGAAGTCTTAATTGCATGCATTACTAAATTATTTAATATTTTGAAGTTATCATAGTTATAGTAAGGAAGGAAATAAATAAATAAATTCACTTCAACAGGTTAACTGTATGACGTTGGTGACATTTATTTTCTGCTCCTCTATAGTAATATTTTTTCCATATTAATTATCTGCTTGAAAGAAATTTTCTTATATTAAGTACTTTTACCTTAAAATACGACAAATATAATTGGCTACATATGTGTAAATATCTATCTTTCTATATGTATATAGAAAATAAAGATTACTGCAATTAATGTCAGCGAATGGACAAGTGATGATGCTCTAGTTATATTCCTACAACGATAGACATTATCGTATGTATCTAGACGTATTCCACCCTAAAATAAAAGTTGCCTCACAGCACATCAGTTAAAAATATTTCAATACCAAGACTACGCTGAAACTCTAGTACTCAGTAGTGCTATGGACTCAGAGTTGTTCACACATGATCCACCTGGTTGAGAAAGAACCTCATCCTATTGTCAAGAAGTGTTTAATTTAAAAATTAGTGTTTTACATCCATTCTGGAGCCAGTCTATTACTGTTCATAAGGAAACTTGTACAAGCACATATCAGGGAATGAATTCAAGAAATTCTTGTGAAACCACTAACAGGAATTGAGAGATTTTGCAAAGCTCTTTGAACTTTGATGTTTACTAACTGACCTCAATTAAATTGCCTCACGGAAGAGCAAATAAATTGAGAGTCACATTGGATAACTGCTAACGAAGAAGATTTAAAACCCCAAACATCACAACTGAATATTTATATTACTACGCTATTGGGAATGTCTAAGACGCTGCTACTAATCCACATCATTCTCACTGTCTGGGTTTCCTGTGCTCATGGACAAGGTAAGTGGAAAACAGATCTAACTCTCAGCTTCCCTCTTAAATGTGACTTCATGTTATGTCTACTTTCACGTGTCTTTTTTTAAACTGAATCAACTAGTAGGAATAGTCTGTTGTGACATCATAATAGAGAATAACTTTATAGAAAAATCATCTCATATTCATCTAAGGGGAAAATAAAATAAATTATGTTTTCTCTGTTTCCTGAGTTCCACAGAGAAAGAACTTGTAATATTTATGGAGACAGGCGACTGTGCTCACACAGATTTAAGAAATACATCACAAGAAAGGCTAGAATCTGACCTCAGAAGGTATGGAGGTTCTTATTTTTAATACAAAGAAATCTTTGGGAGTGATGGACATCTTCAGGATCCTGCATATTGTGATTATTTTATGGATTCATATGTGAAAACTCATTAAATCAGTCAGTTCAAATATATGTAGTTTACTTAAATTATTTATTTAATGTTATTATTTATTTCATTTATAACTTAATAAATCTCTTAAAAGTCATTAACATCACAATGAATTTACTATTCATCAAAATAGCAGCAGGTAAAAAGGAACATCTCTTTCAACAAAGGTGGAATATAGTCTTATTTGTAGTTTCCAGAGGAATGACAATAAATCTTAATTAACATTTCTGAGGTCATTGGTAAATGTTCAGTAAATGAATAAATTGTTTTAGAGCATTAACTCTAGCATATTGTTCACTGATTTGTTTTTCACCTTTATAGATTTTCTATATTAATAATCTCTGAATGCAATCCTTATATATTGGAGAATTATATCTTACAACATAACAAATATAATTGTAGATTCTTTAACTTATCTTTAATTAAAAAGCAACTATATTTTTGTGGGTATTAGTTCTAAAAGCTTTTTGGCATGTATAAAACCTTTAGGATTTTATTGACATTATTACTTTTGCTCTTTCCATAATATCTTTATAAATTTTTCATTATGATATCTTTTTAAAGTCTCTCATTTCTTTCAAAGCCAAAAATACTCGCATTTCCAATTTATTGTCAACGAACCCTCAAATGTGCGTAAAAATCCTTCATTGTACCATTTATGAATACAATATAAATCACTATGCCTTAATTCCTTAATTACAAGAAGAATTCATTTTAATAATTTGCTACATGTTGGGTTTTGTCTGCTATTTAAATCTATATTTGGGCAATTTCCTTCACTAGCAATGACAATAACAACAACACAACAAAGCTTTCTGTCCAATTTAAAATTATTCTCCTTCAGTGAACTCTTTCTAAAAGTAGCCTTTGAGCTGAATGCCCTGTAAGTTTGGGTTACACCAATGCTTCCAAAGGAGAAAGGAAGCCACTTAAGGGAAGAACACTTTTGTGAGCATAGAAACGTCTTTGTGTATTTAGTGGACATGGGTTGAATTGTGTCTCTCCAAAATTCATATGTTGAATTTCTAACTCCTCAGACTCAGAATGTTACTGCATGTGGAGTTAGGTTTTTTTTTTTTTTTTTTTTTTTTTAGTGAGGAAGATTAGCCCTGAGCTAACATCTGATGCCAATCCTCCTCATTTTGCTGAGGAAGATTGGCCCTGGGCTAACATCCGTGCCCATCTTCCTGCACTTTATACGGGACGCCACCATAGAGTGGCTTGACAAGTGGTGCGTCGGTGAGCACCTAGGATCCGAACCTGCGAAGCTTGGGCCCTCGAAGCGGAGCGTGAGCACCAAACCACTGCGCCACTGGGTAGTCCCGGGACATAGGGTCTTTAAAAAGGTAATTCAGTTAAAAGGGGGTCATGAGGGTGGGCCCTAATCCGAAACAACTGGTGTCTGTATGAGAGGAGGAAATTAGGACAGAGACATGTAGAGGGAAGACCACAGAGAGACACAGGGAGAGGGTGGCCATCTAGAAGTCACAGAGAGAGGCCACAGAGGAAACCAACCTGCTGACACCGTGATCTCAGACTTAGCCTCTAGAAAGGTGAGAAAATAAATTTCTGTTATTTAAGCCGCCCAGGCTGTAGTGCTTTGGTATGGCAGCCCTAGCAAATGAATACGGTGGTACTTATATTCTTAAATGGACAGTAATAATCAAAAATTATTTCCTATATTCCTCTCAAGTATATATACACACCTACATCCATATATTTAGAAGACATTCATCAGAATTCAGTAATTATATCTTGGTTATATGTTTGTTGCTGATTTTTATCCTTTATGAATATTTTATATTCAAATTCTCTTCACTGATTCACTGAAAATGTTATACATAGTCGTATGTACATATATATATATATATTCATATCTGTAAGTGTATTTCTTCATCCATATGTCCTATGCAACATGTTACCTGGACTGGGAGACAAGGGATGGAAAGGGCTAGGATATCTTAGGGGATTTCCACAGAAGACAGAGGAAGAAGAGGCACAGGAAGTGAGTGGAGAACTAGAAACATTCCTGCCAACCCAGCAGAAGCAAATGTCTTAGATATGGGAGGTTTAGTGGCTAGAACGCCTTTCATTTTCTTCCTCAGTGTTTACATGTTTCTGTGTGATTTTAATTTGAGAAATACTTCTAAAGAACTTAAACATCATGAGCTCCTCAAATACTTTGTCGTCTTAATTACAGATTGTCCCAGTGCTCAAATCACTAACACATGTGGAATAACTAAGATAAACAGAAGAATAAATTCATCAATGTGATTATTAAGAATAAGTAGAATTATTCATTAACTTAGGATACTACTTTTTTTCTTAAGGAAGAACTTGTGATTTTCCAGAAATAAAACATGGAAGCATATATGATGAAAACAGATATAAACAAAGCTTCCCAGTTGCTATGGGAAAATATTTCTACTACTCCTGTGATTACAGCTTTGTGTCTCCTTCACAATCACTCTGGACTCTAATAATGTGTACAGAGGAAGGATGGTCACCTGCACCAAAGTGTCTCAGTGAGTAATCCAGATTACTGATCATTATCCAGATAAATTATTCAGTGTATTCAGTGAGTGGAGGGAGGGTGCCTGACGGAATCACAGAGCCTTAGACAGCGATGGGGGAAGGGACTGGAGGAGCCAGCAAAGATAAGACATGTCACCCTTCTTTTGTAAGAAGCTGTGGGTGGAAATCAAATCAGAAAAAAGCAAGATACAAACTCCGTAGAATATCTGAATCTGTGAATTTCAAATTTCAAATTTTAACTGCTAATATTTAATTCAAACACTCATTTGATAGTTTCATGAAAATAGATTTTCTCAAGAGAATTTGTTTTTATGTGTAATTTCTGATTCAAAATGTGCTGTTCTTTTGAATATTCAAGAAACACGTTTCACTATTTTCCTTAGATTTGTGGTATTTATTTATTTATTTATTTATTTATTTATTTAGTGAGGGAGATCAGCTCTGAGCTAACATCCATGCCAATCCTCCTCTTTTTGCTGAGGAAGACCAGCCCTGAGCTAACATCTATTGCCAATTCTCCTCCTTTTTTTTTCCCGTTTTCTCCCCAAAGCACCAGTACATAGTTGTGTGTTATAGTTGCACATCCTTCTAGTTGCTGTATGTGGGACGCCTCCTCAGCATGGCCCAACAAGCGTGGGTCGGTGCGCTCCCGGGATCCCAACCCCTGCCGCCAGTAGTGGAGCGTACGCACTTAACCACTGAGCCATGGGGCTGACCCCATTGTGGTTTTTATTAATCACATCTTTGTTCTTTAAAATTGCCTCTGTCTTACTCTCCCAATGAGTGCAGACAAAAAGCAGAGACGTGAAGAAGACAGAATCATGAAAGAGAAAAGCAAAAGAGACGAAGGAGATGAACATCATCTCCTCCTCCTCTAGAAAGCTTTTTATACAAACAAATGAGAAATAAAACAGTAATTTCTTCTGATATCCAAAGGAACTTTAGAAATGTGTAATGTTTTATACACACAAGTAATGATTAATGACATATATTAATTTTTTAACATGCATGAACCACTTTTTAGAAAACTAATTTTTGTGCTTGATTTCTCATTTGAAGTTTGCAAAATGTAATACTCTTTCATTATAAGATTTATATTAGTCAACTTTCGGGTTTGTAGGACAGTGCTTTTTCCCTTGGGTGGAAAATGGTCATTCTGCATCGTCAGGACAAACACACCGGGAAGGTGACACCGTGCAAATCGTCTGTGATTCAGGCTACAGCCTTCCAAATAATCAGAGCGGCATTACATGTGCAGAAAGTGGCTGGTCCAGCCCTCCTAGATGCAGTCATATCCGTAAGTAAAATATCAAAATACCATCCTCTGATATCTAGTATCATTTTTTTTATTTTAGGAAATAGAGGTATTAAATATATGCAGTATTGTTGTTACTATCGTCACCTTTTTAGTCTTAGGATTCCAATTGTGTTTACATAGATACGCAAATCTCTGGATAATCACGAGAAAAGCATTTTGTCTACTTACATAAATGAAACGTAGGCAATATTAGAAAAAACTAATCATGACCACAGTGAAAAACTTTGAAAGGCACTTACATGTTTAAGTAACACAAATTTAATATTTATAATGAAATTATGCAAAATTGGTTGACACAACATGATAAAATTAAATTTTACGTCGAGTGATAGTTAAAATATCACATTTGGGGGCCTGCCCCCTGGCTTAGCGGTTGGGTGCACGCGCTCCGCTGCTGGCGGCCTGGTTCGGGTCCCGGCGCGCACTGCAGCCCTGCTTCTCCGGCCATGCTGAGGCCACGTCCCACATACAGCAACTAGAAGAATGTGCAGCTATGACATACAACTATCTACTGGGGCTT